TATATTTAGTTTTTAATTATTTTGAGAGCTGCTGTTTCTCACCTTCCTGGCCCGCCACAGAGACGGCGAAGTGCAGCAGCAAACATGCACACATCAGCAGCAGAAGCAAGCCGGAGACTGCGCCCCAGCCGAGAGCAGCGCAGCAGAAGCTGCAGCGCCCGCCGCCGCCGCTGCTGCTGCTGCTCTGCGCTGCTGCTGCTGCTGCTGCTGCTGCTGCTGCTGTGGGGCCAGCCTCCTCTTCCAACGCAACAGGCAGCACTGTGTCTACAGCTTCTCTCCAGACAGGCTGGGGGCCCCCTGCGGAAGCAGGGGCCCTCAGACCGGGGCCCTGCAGCATTGCTGCTGCTGCTGCTGCTGCTGCTGCTGCTGACGGTGGCCCGTCTGGACTCCTGGGCTGCTGCTGCAGGTGCTGCTGTTGTTGTGGCCAGTGCTGCTGCTGCTGTTGCTCTGGCTGCTTCTGCTGCAGGCTCACAACAACCTACCCCGGAAAGGAGCAGCTCGGCGCCTCATCTCTCATGCTGCTGCTGCTGTTGTAACATTTGCTGCTGCTGCTGCAGCAGCAGCAGCAGCTCCCCGTGTCTCCCGCTAAAGCGGCGGGGATGACAGTGATGCTGCTCCTAGGTAAGCACAGGGCTCCTTACACCAAGCTGTTGTTGCGGCTCTCGGTGTTGCTGCTGCTGCTGCTGCCCATTACAACAGCAGCAGCAGCAGCAGCAGCAGCAACAGCAGCAGCAGCTGTCGGCTCAGCCCCCGCGGGAAGCTCTGAATGATATTGCGGTTTGTGTTACGGCAAAATTAAAGTTAATAAACAAAGAAAAAGAGAAAATTTCAGTGCAGCAGCAGCAGCAGCAGCAGTCGCTGCTGCTGCTGCCACTGCTGCAACTTTGCGCAGGGCATTCGCGGCACTGGGGGCCCCAGGGGCTGCTGCCTCTGCTGCAGTTTTCTCTTTTGCTGCTGCAGTTAAATTGGATCTGCTGCATTTGCTACATCCTTTGAGGTGTACGTACACCCGGAAACCGGGTTGTGCAATTTTGCCTGCACAGCAACAGCAGTTGCTGCTGCTGCTGCTCCTGCTGCTCCAGGGGCCCCCGTGTCCAGCAGCAACAGTAGCAGCAGAAACAGTAGGCCTCTTGGGTGTTTTGAGTTTTTCCTGCCACAAGCGTACTGCCGAAGCCCTTTAAAGGAGCAGCAGCACTCTGCTGCTGCTGCTGCTGCTGCTGGTGTGGTCTTGCTGCAGCAGCAGCACTACCTAGAAGCGCTGAAGTGACCAGAAATAAGAGGAAGGAGCAGCAGCAGCAGATCAGCCTGCCGCAGAAGTTGCTGCTTGCCCTGGTGGCCAGGTGCAGCTGCCACAGCTAGGTGAAGGTGCAGCAGCAGCACCTGCTGCTGATGCTGCAACAGCAGGAACAACAATGCGGAACCAGCAGCAAGTTTCTTTGGCCTTACAGGCACGCAGAGCACGAAGGCCTTCTGACGACGAGACGCAGCAGCAGCAGCAGATGCTGCTGCTACAACACCAGCAGCTGCTGCAGCAGCAGCTGCTGCAGCAAAAGCATCTGCAGCAGCAGCAGCAGTCCCTCCTCTCGCGAGCAGCTGTGAGCCTGGGGATCCCCGTCGAGTCTCGCGTGGCTCCTCTTCAGGATGCAGCAGCAGCAGCAGTTGCTGCTGCTGCTGCTGCTGTGGCAGCTGCTGCTGCTGCACCCAGCGCCGGCATTACTCCAGGAGCTGCTGAGCAAGCAGCAATTGAAGCAGCAGCAACAGCAGCAGAGTACACACATCGTGTGCGCGCGAGACTTTCTGCAGGGTCTTCTGCCTCCAGCAGCAGCGACGCTCCTGCAGCAGCAGCAGCTGCTGCTGCTGCTTCTGTTGCAGCAGGCCAGGCGCTGCAGCGCCGCGCCAGCTGCAGTAGCAGCAGCAGCCGCCGCAGCAGCGCCAGCAGCACGTGGCTGCCGACTCTTCTTGCGCCCTCTGGCAGCAGCAGCAGCAGGTGTCCCTCAGATATGCACGTGAAGCACCACCCTCCCGCTGCTCCCGCTGCTGCTGCTGCTCCTCCCGCTGCTGCTGCTGCTGCTGCTGCTGCAGCTGCTGCTGCTGTAGGCTGCACTGCTGCTGCTGCTGCTGCTGACGCAGTGACTCCTTGCTGTGTGCCTTCTCTAGTGGCCCCACTGCGGCATCAGCCACCGCAGCAGCAGGCCCAGCAGCAGCTGCAGCAGCATCGTCACACACTTCAGCAGCAGCAGCAGCAGCAAGCGCTGCGGCATGGGCAGCCCTCGCTGCTGCTGCCGTATGCGGAGCCAGAGGGAACAGATGCGGAGCCAAGAGAATGGCAGCAGCAGCAGCAGCAGCACAGGGTTGCTGAGCTGCTGCAGCAGGAGCAGCAGCAAACTGAGGAGTATTCGCCGCTGCGGCAGCTGCAGCCGCAGCTAGCGAGTCTTGAAGCCGAGCTCAATCAGCTGCAGCTGCTGCAGCAGCAGCAGCAGCAACAGCAGAGGCAAGCTCACGCGTCAGGGCACGGTGGCCCAGAGCAGCAGCAGCAAGAGCAGCAGCAGCAGCAAGAGCAGCACCTGCTGCTGCCCTCACAGACCTGCAGTGATGCAGCATGCGAAGCTTGTAAACTGCTGCCAGAATTTGCTGCTGATGCCATGCAGCTGAAGCAGCAGCTGGGCTTTTTGCTGCAGCGGCTGCGCAACACCCGTACAGCACCGCATGCAGCAGCAGCAGCAGCAGCAATGCCTGCTGCAGCGACAGGACCTGCAGAAGGAGTAAGGCCCGCAGCAGCAACAGTGCCTGCAGCCGCAGCTGCACCTGCAGCAGCAGCAGCAGAGCCTGGAGCACCAGCAGCAGCAACTGCAGCAGCAGCAACTGCAGCACCAGCAACTGCAGCAGCAGCAACTGCAGCAGCAGCAACTGCAGCAGCAGCAGCATTTGCAGCTGACGCACCACGGGGATCCCCACGTGGTTTTGGGCTTGTGGGTGCAGTGCAGCAGCAGCAGGGCGAATCGCGGCAGTTGCTGCTGCAGCAACAGCAACAAGAGCAGCAGCAGCAGCAGCTCCAGCAACAGGACCAGCGGCAGCTGCTGCAGCAACAGCTAGCGCAGCAGCAGCAGCCCCAAGCGCTGCTGCATGTGGATCATCTGGGGCTTCGCCAGACAGAGTTGCAGCAGCAGCTTCAGCAGCAGCGCCAGCAGCTGCAGCAGCAGCACGAGCTGCTGCAGCAGCAACGCCAGCTGATACAGCAACAACAGCAGAAGACGGAAAAGCTGAAGCAACAAGTAGAATTGTTGCAGGGGCGGCAGCAGCAAATGCTGCAGCAGCTGCAGCAGCTGCAGCAGCTGCAACAGACTGCCCAAGAAGAAAACGCACAGCTGCAGGCAGCGCTGCTGTACTTTGTGACTGAGCACAAGCAGCAGAAGCAGCAGCTGCTGCTACTGCAGCAACAGTCTGCTGCTGCTGCAAATGCTGCTGCAGGGGTCTCGGCGGCTCGCGGCGCGAAGGGAAGCAGCAGCCACAAGCGCCAACTGCAGCAGCAGCAGCACCAGAGACAGCAGCTGCTGCTGCTGTCTCCTTCAAGCGAAGCCAGCAGCGCAGCTAGCAGCTGGGTCCCCACAGCAACAACAGCAGCAACAGCAGCATCTGAGGATCTGCTGCAGCAGCCTGTGCGGCAGCAGCAGCTGCGTCAGCAGATTGACAGCAAAAAGGCAGCAGCAAGTGCTGCTGCTGCACTAGTGAAGTCCACTCCAACACGCAGTGAAGCCAGAGCTGCTGCTGCTGCTGCTGCGCGGCACCGCCACCGCAGCAGCAGCAGCAGCAGACTAAGCGTGCCCAGCGTTTGCATATCTGATAGCGACTGATTAGGCGGAAGCAGCAGCAACAGCAGCAGCAGCATGCTGCTGCTGTGCTGCTGCAGGGAAAAGCTTTTTGTTTGAGGTGTATGTACAAGCCTTGCAGATTGTTGCTGAGGGTTTAACTTTTGTGCGCTGTAGTTGCTGCAGCAGCAGCTGCTGCAGCAGCAGTTCAGGAGCAACTGCTGCATAAAGAAGCAGAGTAGTAACAGTAGGAGCAGCAGCGGCAGCGGCTGCTGCTGCGCTGTGTAGCTGCTGCAGCTCTAGAGGTATCTGCGGCAGCGCGCCTCTCATGCTGCGGAGAGTCAGGGAGACAGAGACGCGAGCAGCAGCTGCTGCACCAGTTGCTGCAGCAGCTGCTGCAGCAGCTGCTGCACCAGAAGCACTTGCAAGTCCAGCAGCAGCCACTAATGCTGCGGTAGCAACGACAGCTGCTGCTGCTGCTGCTGGCGCAGCAGCAACGGCTGCAGCCAGGCCAGCTGTGGGCCCCGCAGCAACAGCAAGGAAGGCTGCTCTCAGTGCTCCCAGGCGCTGCAGCGGCAACGACCAGTGCAGCAGCAGCACAGCAGCAGCAGCAGCAGCAACGACAAAAATTGCAGCTCCCCTAGACCAGGCTTCTATGCGGGTTGGTATGAGGGCTGGTTTCGCCTAGCGGCAGTGTCCAGCTGTACACACAGCAGCAGCAGCAGCAGCAGCAGCGAAGCGGCAGCAGCAACAACACCAATAGCAACGAAGAGTTGGGCGGAAAGGGACTTGAATTCGTGTCATGAAATTCCATAAGACGTTTTTAAACAATAATTTCTGCTGCTGGCTATAGCAGCAGCAGCAGCAACAGCAGCAGCAGCAGCAAAGGGAGCCAAGTGTGGGTCCGGGTGGGTGTTGCTCGGGGGGGTTGGTGTTGGTGTTGCTGGTGCTGCTGCTGCTGCTGCTGCTGCTGCTGCGGGA